GCCAAATGAAAAAGACTCTGTGTGTGTGTGTGTGTGGTTTGTTGGGTTTTTTTTTTTGGTGATTTCTTTTCTTTGTGGCTTTTTTTTTTTTTTTCTTTTGGCCTTGTTGGTTGTTTTTAGTTTGAAGGTCCTTTGAATTTTGACACACAGTAAAAGATAGATCCACTTGCTGCCTTCTCTTGGTCTAAATAATCATGAGATTAATAAACATCATCGCGCACAGAGCAGTGTTGACCACTGAACATTTTGTTCAGTGCTTTAGAGCCTGGCGTTGCCAGAGCCCAGCCAGAGCTGTGCGTGTCCCCGGCGTGTCGTGCGTTTCCGTAATTAATAGTGGCTGCCACGCTGGCCATCGTGGGGTAAGGAAGAATCACTGCGCTAGACTCTTAAAGCTCTCCTGATGAGGATTTGAGCGGTGTCATTTGTTATACAAAGGCTTTTCTCATCAGCTGGACAAATAAAGTGGTCTTTTCTGTAAATCAGGCAGTGAATATTTATGACAGGTGCATTCACCTTTCCTGCCACGGCTGAATCAGTTGATATTTATCATCCGGGCAGCCTGTGAGGAAAAGGTTCACAGATCTCAAATAGTATCAGAAAGGATGAGCTAATGACTGTGCCTCGCGTTTGAGATGGCCAAACTGCTCAGTAACAGTGACTGCCTTATAATTTAGGTGAAATAGAATGATGGAAAAGTATGGATTAATTTATTGCTGTTTGTGAACAGTGCYGTCTTTGTCCTCTTCTGGTCATAGTGTGATTTGAAATCTTATTTTTTAAATGCATCTACTTCTCACTTATAGTTTACTCTTTTTTAAAAATAAGAGCATATTAGTGGTATTTAGCATGTGAGGTGTTAACATATTCGCTGTTTGTTTTGCATGGCATGTAATGGCACACTGAGTTGACGTGCAGTTTTTGCTTCAGGAGAGCTTTAAAAACACATTTTTTCTAGGATGTCCTGATCATTAGCCTTTTTTTTTTCAGAAGGAATAGAGGAATTGGTCTTGCTGACACTATTCACCTGTATAGAAAGAGAGGCAGAAGAAAACAAGCAGGCAGAGCAGGGTTTGTGGTCTCATGGTGGGCAATTTCTTGGGAAAGGAGAAAATTTCCATTTTTGATATCAAGATCAGGTAGCAAAAGTCAGGCTCTTTCCTGGCATCACATAAACAGTAACTTTTTTGTTTAATTAGCATCCATTAAAATGTTGTGTTGATTTGTTAAATGTTGTTGAGATGTGGAAAGCTGTGAAATTTAAATCCCCTGTCTCCTGAAAGTATGGACTCCTTTCCCAAGCCCCTGGCTGTGCACGTGTGAACTGCAGAGTTTGCCATTACATGATGCTCTTGGCTTGTGTAAGGCAAGGTTCTCCTTACCTACCCAACCCCTGTAAGGTTGACCTCTTAAGGTAATTTAACTAGGGGATCTACAGCCTGTAGAGGAGTTAACTCTGCTCGGAACACACTCTGGAGGAGCGTTGAAGGTACTGGATGTATCTCCTGGTCTTTTTGGATCTCAGATGTTATTAAATGGAAAGTGAATTCAGYGCTTGCATTCAGAAGCTTGCAGTGCTTCAGTTAGGTGCTTGCATTCCCTTGGCTTCGCACTTCATTTGCAAAGGRCTTGCTTAGGTTCAGTTCTCACTAACTCAGCCCACAGCAGTGGGGACCCTTGGGTGTGGGACCTGTATTGGGTCCTAGCCACCTTGCAGCATCATGGTAGGTGTGGGCAGTCAGGGAACGTCACCACCCAGTGCATGGCTTTTGTATAAACAGACTACTGTCCAGACCACCTTTTTCATCTCTTCAATCAGACGCACTTTTGGCCGAGAAGACTTTTTTCCCTCTCCCTCTCCCTCTCCCCAGTCTCTTTGAACTTCATTTCTTCTAATGACTGTCTGGCTGCAGAATGACACTAGGTTCTTGTAGATGCATGTGTGGAGCTGAAGTGATGGCTGTGCAATAAAAAACAAAAAATACTGCTAACAGTGACACAGAGTAGGGAGAGGGGAAATTGGATGGACCTAGTACTGCTCTCTCTTTAGATGATAACTTTGACTCTTGTAAGTAAAGAGAATTATTATTATTGGTGGTAATGTGTAGCTCTTTCACATTTCTGGAAATGATTGTGACTTGTGATTTTAAATAGAAATGCATCTTTTGGCTGGGCGACCRGTTGGCTAGCAAATTCAGGCTAAGAAACACCTGTGTTCCAGACATGAACAGCTCTGTGTCTCCGCAATGGAGCCATCTGTGCTACAGGTTGCTTGCCAGATTTTCCTACAGAAGGAGCTTATCTACGAGAGGGATGATTCCACAGAGCAGCGTGGACATGTGCCACGATCCACGCAGGAAAGATAATGCTGCCCATTCAGCGGTGGCATCTGTTCTTTGGCATGTGCTTTGAATGTGATCTCTGCTGCTGCCGCAACGCTGGAGGCACCATCATCATTTAAACAGCACTTAAATAACAGGGTGCTTCTATCTGCTCTGGTGAGCATCACCAGTGTCTTCATTTTACCACTTGGTTGGCTGAGGTTTAAGCTGAATACGTATTTATTTCTGTTCTCCTGCATGGTGTTTTGTCAGTGGCATAGGCAGAAGTAGTAAAGAAATTTTATGAGCCGTGGTTTGGTATGCTTTCCACTGGAATGACACTCTTCTCCTAAAACCTTATCATGTTGTTGTCATGCACATGCTGATAAAGTACTGGAAAGATCACCTAATAAATACACAGCCATAGAACAAGCGCGGTGCTTCTGTACCTCCTGCTCCTCCATCCTGTGAAGGTTCAGTGCCTTTGTCTTGTTCTTTGGCGGCATGTGCAGGTGGGAATTCATTATGGGAAGGAAACCAGAGCAGTTTGATCCTATCTTGTGGCTTCTGGGATAACACACATTACACTGTCAGCCAATAATTTCTGCCTGTTTATAAATTCTGCTGAAGTGAAATCATGGTTTTGTTTTGAAAATAAATTTTCTTTTGGTGGCTGCTGGCTCATCTGCTGTGGGGTCAAGGAAGATAATAAGGATTTATGCTGTAGATTTTTTTTAATGACTTTGCTATTTCAAGTTCTTCTTTTTTCTTTTTTTTCTTTTTTTTCTTTTTTCTTCTTTTTTCTTTTTTTTCTTTTTTCTTTTTTTTCCTTTTTCCTTTTTCCTTTTTCCTTTTTCCTTTTTCTTTCCTCTTTCTTCTTTTCTTCCTCTTTTCTTTCCTTTTTTCTTCTTTTCTTCCTCTTTTCTTTCCTTTTTTCTTCTTTTCTTCCTCTT